TTTTCGGAAACCCCCATTTGGCTCCGTCTCCCTCACTCTTCTCAACCACTGCGGCGACGCGCAGCAGGCTGTACAATTTCTGGGCACTGCGGTCGGGCAATGCATCAGAGAGCGAAGGATCTCCTTCACAGCCCTGGCTTACAGGAGAAGAGCGGAACTGGCCAGCAGCATCGCTGACAAGGCGTTGAAGGATCCCGGCGAGCGCAGCAGACCGATGGCCAAGGGCGATGCTATCCTGGCAAAGCTCGAGATGGAAGCCTCCAGCACCAAAAACCTGGGGGTCTCCGAAAATAGGAGGGATCCTAATGTAGTGCCCCAAATAATAGGACCCTTATTATAAGGACCCCAAATTTTGGTACCCCCCTGTTTTCGGAAACTCCCACCTGCTGCGCCGGCCTTCCGGTGCTGTGCTCACCACCACCCCGGGCAACGCAGCGAAAGCCAGAGCAAGGCCGAAGGCGTAGAGCAGCAAGGCCGGAGCCAGCAAGGAAGGGAAGGCGCCCAGCACAGCGAGAGCGGCCGCCTTCGATAGGATGCCCAAGGCACAGGTCTGCTTGACTCCCATCCACCTTTTCAGTGGCTGGACCAGGCCTATTTGGCACAGGAAGATGAAGATAGAAAGCAGAGACAGTGTGCTACCCAGCATGGAAGTAGAGAAGTGGTACTGCCGCAGAAGCAGGAACGGGATGAACGGGTTTAGGAGGAATCTGACGGATGAGAGCACCAAAGAAACCCCGAGAGCGCGCCAAGCACTCCAACAGAGAGAGCCTTCGCCGGCTTCTGTCTGAGCCGTGTCTTTTTCTGGCCCCTCCTCCTGGAGTGTCGTCGCATCCCCTTCCCCTTCGCGGCTTTCCCTCCTTGGGAGGACCGAGATACAGATCAGCGCACCGCAAAGGCAGAGAAACGCGATGAAGCAGAAGGGGATCGACAGGCCAAAGAGGTCTGCGACGGCTCCTCCCAAGAAGGGCCCCAAAGTAAAGGCGATTTGTCCGGCGGCCTCGCCGTAAGCCAAGCTGGCAGAGAGTTGATCTTTGTCAGGAAGGCTCTGGACCAAGAAAGATCGCAGGACGGGAACGATGCCACTGCCAAAGCCTGCGATGCCCCGGGCGAGAAAGATCCATTGGAGCGGCAGGTTCTGCAGCAAAGCGAAGCCCAAGTAAAACCATGCTGCTGCGGATATCGCTAAGCTTCCCACCAAGACTTGCGCGGTACCAGCTCGTTCGCTCAGAATTGGCAAAGCTATGTTTCCCAAGAGCTGCCCGAGAAAAAAGCACGATGTGAAGGCCCCGACATCCAAGCCGCGCTCAGTCAAAGCTGGGCCAAGCGGTAAGCCGCAGGTGAAGCCGAGGAAACTCATGCAATAAAGGTAGTAGATGGCCAGGAGTGCTTGCACACGAACTTCCCCAGAAAATAGTCGCTGCTGCGATTGGCCACCACACGCCCGGAAGGGAGGTGGACGAAGAACTTTTCGGCCTCTCCAAGATCCCATCGCTCCACCCATCCTAGGTCACTGGAAGTCAGCTCAAGAAGGAACACTAGAAACTCCTTCGCAGAGACTCTTGTAGAAACCCTTACGACCCCTTTTCAAAACCCGTGCTGAGCCGGGGCTGAGACCCTAAAAATAAACAAGGGCCACGTGACAAAGCCGTTCGCGCCAGTTCTCGGCCACTCCAGGCCCTGCGCCGGCCCTCCACCGAGTCTCGCGGTCGGCTGGCCGCTCCGGCGGGTGCCGGGAGCGGCCGTCCATCGCGGACACAGGTCGGCCACATGGCTAACTAGGGAGAACAGACATTCTGCGGTAAGTGCTTGAGGTGTCGCCGATGCTGTTGGCTTCTGGGTTTCCCTTGGCTTGCAGCAAGACGCAGATGCACTCGCCCTTAGCTGCTGGTGTAACTGCACTTGTCCGCGGCAGAAAGCCGACCCGGGACCCTTGACCCGGAACCTGACCTTTTCTGCAGACAGCTGAGTAAGACGGGTGTAACGAGAGAGAGTGCAATAATAGGTAACACAGATTTAAAGTTTGAGGGCAGGGGGGTTGTTAATCAGGGGTTCGCATTGTTAGGGCTTAGGATTTTTGGGCTGTAGGCCTGCAGCCTTTAGGCTTTAGGCCTTTCTCAAAAATTGGGAAGCCCGGAGCTGCAAGACCTCGAGGCCAACATTGACCTTTTTTCTTTAGATTTCCTTCTGCAATGTTCGCACATCCCCTTGTCATCCTAGGGTTCAGGGTGGGGAAATGGGTTTAGGTCCGGTACGTCCGGGGACTTTCGGAAGGGGGCCTTAGAACTTCGGCACTGTCCGGCAGGGCCAAAGCTGCTCCAAAGAGCCCAACACCTAGGATTTAGGGTCTAGTGTTTTTTTTTTAGGGTTCAGGGTTTCTGTTTAGGAGTTCTGTGTTTTGTGCCTCCTGAAGAGCATTGAAGAGTTTGTGGGTTATAGGGTTTTGCGTTTCAGGGCATGTTCAGGGTTTGCAGAATAGGAGCTCCGTTGTGTGCAGAATACCTTGACGCTTTAGACCCTTCCCTTCCCGACTTCTGCCTCCTCCAAAGGCACGGGTGGCTGCGGAGGAGGAGGAGGCGGAGGCCTGCGCCACTTGTATCGGTCTTCAGACGGAGCATCGCCATATCGGGCAAGCTAGCGGCGAGCACGGCACATGACGTGTCCATGCTTGCCAAAATCACGTACACATCATTCAACAAACCTATGGAAGCCAGAAGACGGCCATAACACTTCGCAGGCAGGTTTCGACTGGCACATGTACAACCCAGTCCACATCACCGCGTGAGGGGGCACCAAGTCTTGTGCTGGTGTCCCTGCGTCCCTATGTCTTGCGCATGGTCTGCGGAGTTCTGGATTCTTCCAAGATACCGTGAGATTGATAACCTCGGGACCATGCACTCGACTCTGCATGTGAAGCTCCAAGACAGCAAGGAGGATGCTGTGTGGGAGCAGCCGGGTTTTCCGGCAGAATGTGCCGTAAAGGGGCACGGTTCACTTGACGTCCCCACGAAGTGAGACTGGCAGCTAGCAATCGAACGCTATTTCTATGTATCCACCAACATATGGACAGTGCAAGGAGCACATTCGAGCACGCCACAGTCGAGGAAGTCCGTGTCAACATCCGCTTTACTGAAGCATGCTGAAGCCCTCCTCGCAGGCTTTGTCAGTCAGGTCGTCTTGTCGGATTGTGCGGGTGAGCATTAAGCAAAAGAAGCCGGAGGGAAGCCAGAAGAGCATGCCTAGCATGAAGGATTCCTTTCTGCCCAGGTATCGGACCCAGCTGGCCACCAGCGCTGGTCCAAGGCCTTTGCCCAGGTCGTCCATGATGTTAAAGACGCCGAAAACCCTGCCTCGCGATTGGGTCGGAACGGCATTCAGGAGGACCGCTTTCAGGTTCACAGGCGACATGGAAGCCAAAAAGACTCCGAGAAACGACAAGACGTGGTACATCCAGGGCTGGCCAAAAGAACCGGCAAAAAACAGAATCAAGAAGGGCAGCGTGCCTGCCCACACAGTAAGTCCCATGAGCCAAGCCTGCAGGGTCTTGTCCCGTTTATACAAGCACTGGCCCAGTTTGCCACCCACCAGAGTGCCTGACACGCAGCCCACGCCCATACTGAACAACACGGTGGTGGCAGCTGGAACACCCATGCCGGCATCAACAGCGAGGTAGTCCGTAAAGAACGTTCCCACTATCGACCACGGCACACACGCAAAAATGCTTTGAAAACACCCGCAAACTACCGTTGGCCTGGAAAGTGCAGCACACCATGACGTGTTATCATGGTCAATGCGTTCACTCGCTCGCTCAGGCTCTTTCTGAATGAAGAAAAGTAGAATCGCAACGCACCAGCCGGTTACGCCGACAATCGCAAACGGTGCACGCCATCCAGCAGCAGTCCCAACAAAGCCAGCCAAAGCTTGACCAATTGAAATCCCAAAGCCTGAAACGATGCCGACCACGGCAATTGCATGAGGACGTTCGTCTGGTGGGTACAAGTCCCCAATGATTGCGAAGCTTGTTGGCATCAGGCCACCGGCAGCGATACCCACCGCACCACGACCGAACAACAGCGAAACAAAGCCAACAGCCTGCGAGTTGGCAAATGTGCCGCAAGATCCGACCAGCATGCAAACGCAGACCAAGTTCCTGCGTTGCATGACGTCGGCAAGCCGACCGATTACCAGAGAAGCAACGGCTCCACATGCGAAGAAGACGAGGCTCACGATGCCACCCAGTTTTTCGTCCCTCTCCGGCCCATCGAAGCCAAACTCTGTTGCCACTGCCGACATGTTGGTCGACAACAAAGGTGCGTCAGCAAGCAGCACCAATTGGGCCAGGGCCAGGGGAAATGCCTTTCGGTGCCGGGACACCTCGTCCAGTATGAGCGACGGAACCTGCAATGCCAAGCGGACAATTCCCTTTCCATCTGGGGCCGGCCTACTCCCGCAATCCATCTTTTCGTCGGCGTCGTGGTCGTTTCGGACCAGTGTTGAATGTGCTTGTTCGGCCTTTAGGTACTGTCTGTACTTGTTGCATACACGTGTCCTGCTCTGTCATCGTCCTGCTTCCATGTAACCCTGCCTACTCGCGGCTGCTTCCTGCAAAGTGAGCTTGCCTCGGGTACATGTCCTGTGGCTGAGGCTGCTGGGGCTAGAGCCGGACGAGAGCAATGCACGACATACTGGTGGATTTGGGCGTGAGTCGGTGCAACTCCTACCAGTCAACTGATCCGAGAACATACTGCAACCTGTCTTGCGCTCATATCCCACATTATACTCTCTGGGCATTGGCATGGTTAGCGAAGCCATCCCAAAACTTCAAGAACGCATGCACGGACCACGGAACTGTCCTGATCTCGAACGCAGGAACTCGCGGCCCTGGCGAGTCCGTAGCCAGTGCTCCTGTCCACAGCCTGGAGCACCAGAACGTGCATTAGCACCATGCTTTTCAAGAACGTAAGCAGATGTCACATGCTGATTTGGCTTCATCTGGCATCATGGAGCCGGAAGCTAAATAAAGGAAAGTTGCCGGTACACTGCAAAGATGACCATGGCCGTCGAGGCCCCCAGCAACACTTGGAACCGCAGAATGTGTGCTGGACATGTTCTGGCAAGTCGTCGCTCCGGCTCTGCGTCCTGCAAGCACTGCAAGCCATGACAACGTCTGACTTCGTCCATGGTGCTGCTGGCTCGGTAACAAGATGCCCTGCCAGGGCCAGCAGTCCTCGGAGCGTTTTGCTGACTCCTTCTTCTTTGGTGGTCGCAGGCTCGCCTTGTCCAGTTTCTTCTTGTTGGGATGTTTTAGCGGCATGGTGGCCCCGGCGGCGACATCACTCCGATTCCCACCACCGGTGACTCCCGACCTATGCCCGCATATAACACAAAGTGTCCGTCGGCATTGTGTGATACTGCATGTGAGAACCATGCATGCTGCAAAGCTGCTCACGGCTGTGTGCCAACAGTCGGGACTCGTGAAGCTAGCCAACTCCTTGATATACCATGCTCCAGCCCCAAGCTCATTGAACATGTAAACCTTGCTTGTTACTTGTTTGTGTTGCTGTCTTTTCTCGCCCATGCTGGCTTCATTGCTTGAGCTATGTGGCTGCTGCAACATGCGAGACAAATGCAGTAGCTGCACCATTTGCACGAGAACGCTCGCTGAAGGATCGGGTCACAATTCCCAATCAGGATCAAAGCAATGGGCGGACAGGTAAGGAAAACATTTACATGTAGCTTAGGTCCACGCTTGCTGGGATGCGAACGCCTAATGGGTGGGCATGAACAAACGAAACTCTCGTTCAACCTTTTCCGAAGTCTTGAACGTTCAAATCAACAAAAGCTATTTGCTCTTTTCTCGAGTGCTTGTGGTATGCGTAGTTTTGTTTGTCTGCCGGGCTCGAGGGGTCCGGGATCTATGAATGAGGGGTGGGAATAGGGGACCATGTGAGTGCCTCACGGGAGGGTTAGTTGTTGTTTCTATCGTTGGGCCTCCCCGTTTTTTGCTTCCTACATGGTAGGGCGAATTACGAAACAAGGTTCCAGACAAATATCAATAAATTCTCCCCGACCATCGTGGTGAAGGATGGTGTTGCCTGGCTTCAAGCAACGTGTTCACTCATCTCGAATGTCATGCTATTTCATGGCAGTTCCACAACACTTCTCTAACGGCAAAATGCCGACTTTCATCCACTGTCTGTGTAGACTAGACTGCATCATACCTCTCACTACATGTGTAGAGCGACTCAACTCAGACCAACTCTTTTATTTTCCCTCGGACCTTTTTGTCGAAAGCCGTCTCAAACATGTTTTTCTTTGCTCATGCTGGCCTTCGAATTTTGCAAGTTACCGCATTGCTGGCTATTCACAAGCTCCGAATGCTATGCATTACGGCCTCCAACGCAATAAATTCCGAATCTAGAACATTTTACGCAGCCTTCGATTGTTCCGAAATGAAGCATTTCCAGCTGTCCACATGCTTGAAACGATTGCTGTACATTACGGCATGTCGACATGCAAGCAATCGTCAAACTGTAGAAATTTTAACATGTCTCACATGATGCGCCAATGGAAAGGATCCATGAGGGAATGTACATTTTTGATGAAACAGTATTGGTTTCATACATTCCCATCGCTTACCGCTTCAGGGCCTACTTCTTCAGCATTCCAGGAAGACTACCGGAAAAAAACATTGAAACTAAGAAAAGCTAGAAGAAGCTAAACATTTCCCACAATGGTACTGTGAGTAGAACTGTAATTTAAGGCGCAGGGGTTCACGGTTTAGAATGGGTCCGAAATTGTTTGAAGATTTT